TATATATGTTACTAAATTTTTATTTAAAATTTATATTTAAAAATTTTAAAAATTAAACTAAATTTATTAAAAATGAACAGAAATAGTACAATAAAAATCTAAACTTGATAACTTATAACAGTAAGTATGCAATTTCAAAATAAAATAATTTACTTAAAAATTTTTAAAATTAATTTAATATTATTAAATTTTAACAAATAAAATAAATTAAAAATAATGTTATTAAACAGGCTCTAAAATATTGAAAGATGTTTTGGGCCCAATGAAAACAGATTGGGCCGACTCATCACAAATTTGAATTTGGGGATATAAAAACGCTATAAAGGTCGAAATCGTTAAGCGCGCGGGAAACAGAACCTCTTCATTTTCCAAAAACTAGTTCAATCCAAAACTTCTCAGATTGAAACTTCACTAATTTCTCTCAGAAACAAGCTCGAAGAAATGCCAATCAAAAACAGTTCGAAAAAGCGAGGGTCGGAGATCATGCTCGCTAAATCGGACTCGAAATCTCTACTCGACGACGATTTTGATCCCGAACTCTCCAGGTAATTCTCTCGAACGATATCCGCTCACTCGATCTTTCCTTTCAACTTAAGAATTTGAGGTTTCGATGCCTGTAATTGTTGAAATTGTAGATCGCGGGAAGAGATTTTGTCTTCGCTAAAGAAGGTAAGAGAGTACTTGCATAAGGACGGCCAGAAGAAGAATGAAGAGAGGATCTCTAGGTAAATATGAAATTCGAGTTGATTTTCGCTTCAATAGATTTAGATCCGGATTATTAATGATTCATGGAGAATTTCTGAGAGCGACGCTCTGTTTGGATTATTTTCATTGTTTCCCCTCGTTTTTAAGTCAAAAATCGCTGTTTCATAGTGTTTTGGTTCGATTCGTTTTGAATCAGTTGAAGATTTTCTTCCATTTTGCTAGCTGTTTGATTATTTTTCATTCGGAATATTATTTAGGATTTCCTCATAACCTTGAACTTGCAGAAGATCTTGATTTGAACTAGTTTATTTGAACATGTTGAGATTTGAATTCATGAAATTTGATTTAGGATTTTTGAAGATCTGTGAAATGAATTACTCTGAAATATTTCTTTATTTAACTGCATTTGCAATTTTTTCTTCTTTTATGCTGATAATACATGACTTTTGATGATAATTTTATTAATTGCTTCTCTTGATGCATCATTCATTGTCTAAGCCATCTTATCTTATGCAATCTTCCTTTAGACTTCAATTCTACTTTCTTCCTGTTACTTGTCATGTTTTGCTTCCTTTTCTGGCCTTTTCTTTTATGTTTGCTTTTACTTTCATATTTCTGAAGCATTTTGTCTCATGAATATTGATTTGTGGTGACAGTGATGCAGCTGAGATAAGGTCTAAACTTAATGAGCTGAAGTCAAAGATTGAGAAGGAAAGGTAAACTAGAGAGTTGTTTGTATAATCTGGCTTTAAGTAGAACATAACATTCAACTGATTCCACAATATTGACCAGGTCTTTACCTAATCAAAATGAGCTGACATTTTCCCCCTTTTAACTGTAGACAAACTTTTGCTAAGGCACTCTCGAAGAGTTCAAAAGAGGTATATTGGGAACAGGGGGGCTCAGCAGTCAAGATAGAGGGCAGCTTTGTAAACTAACTTGTAATTTAATCTATGGCATAATATATGTGACTGCACATGTTCCGCAGTGTGAAAATTGCTTGAAGAATGAAGCTGCTAAGTTCCAAGAGATTTATGAGAAGTTCTGCAAAGAGAAAGCTTCCCATCTGCAGGCCTTGAAAGGTACCCTTTGTTAATTAAAACATTTTGTCGCATGGCATCTTTCCATGCCAAGCATCCTTATTAAATAAAACCCCTTGCAAAAGAATTAAAAGGAATTCATGATGAAGCTGCAATTCATGTCATGTACAAATTTGAATAAAATATTGCAGAATATTGCAAACACCAAGATGTTAAAATATGATATTTTGAAACAATCCAGTTCTATGTGGCTATTTTTAGTGATGTGCTGAGTCTAGATGCTCTTTGTCAGATACCATTTCCAGATTCGAGGAAGACAAGGAAAAGCTATTCAAGAGATATGAACAACTAAGTGAGCAACAAACTCCCTGTCTATTCTTCAATGAAACTTGATTCTAATGCATTATGGTTGATATTAGGGAAGAGAGAGAAGAGTATGATATCTGAGCAGGAGAAATTTTGTGCGGATAAAATCACTCAACTGGAGGAGTCATTGAAGAAAAAGAAACAGGTAGACGAATTATATGAGAAATCCACTGACCATTCTTTTGAATATGGTCTTTTCTTTCTGATTGCATCCAATATATTTTCTGCAATGCAGGATGACAAAACTTTCAGCCTTTTGAGGAAAACCCTTGGTTCATTTCTGGAAGATGCCTCAGAGGAGGACTTCCCGGTTGATGATTGAATACTTAAAGAGTGACACTGCAACATGCCAACATCTCAACCACAAATATTTCATCCTTTAGAGAATGTAGCTTATGGTGTACAGTCCCATAAACTTCAATGCATTTCCACTGTACGTATTAATTGAGAGGAAAAACTTGGAAATCCCCCCCTCCCAATAGGACCATGAAATTTACTAAACTCTATTATATGATACTTTAGTCAGTCAGAAAACGCATTCTCATTTTGAAAATACATACTTGAAAATACATTTCGTTCTGTGGCTTTAACGGAGAATTGTTGCAGTTCTCTTCATGGATAATTGATATATAATGTATTTGTATTCAATAGAGGTCTTACATGATTTGCTTCTATATCACAAGGAAGAGAAATAAAAGCTAAGGATCAAATTTTCACATTCTTCATTTACTTGAAAAAACCAACATACAAAATACGAGAAAGTTTATCTCAATTAGTGAAACTGTAAATAACTTGATAAAACATGGTTACAAGGAAAAGTAGAAAACTTTCTATTCCATTCAGCACACTGATGATTTGATTTAACCCTACAGGCCTCTGGGAGTAGGAAACTATGTTCGGCTATAGTACTGAGAAGCCTCTTTCTTGTAGATTCATTAATCATAAGATCCAATAAACATCAAGGTTACCTTGACAGCGGACAGGAATAAGCAGTTTAATGGACAGTATTTGGAGGGGTTGGTTGACCTTGCTGTACAGACCATGGGGGCCGCTTGTTGTGTGCCTGCAAATGCTTCGTCAAACATAATCAGTCCTTGACAAATTTTATATATAAGTAGCTCCAACCATTACAATCCAAACAATATAATTTTTTTATGATGTGTTAAATCTAATCAAAATCATTCTAACATTGGTACAGAATTAAGCCATCTGAAAACTTTTTAGGTAAAACATCAGCATGTATTTTTTAAAGGTTCAAATGATGAAGAGATATACTTTCTTCTAGACTTTTGTAAAATTCTTTTTGAAACCAAATGAGAAAGTTTCCTACAACACATACACAAATAGAGACATGAACCAGCAGATGCATACAAGCAGAGTCTTACAAAGGGTACTTCACATACCCCTATTTCTGTCACGGAACGGCAAGAGGAGCACTTAACTGATGGAGCTCCATAATGGTACATCAGCAATATTGCACAACTTCCACACTTAACTACTCCAACCTGATGAGCTGAAAGATTGAAATATAGAGGTATTAGATAGGAGCTGAATTAAATAGCATGCAGAAGGCAAACCTTCACTTCTTCAGGTATAAAAGGAAACAATCAAACAAAAGTTGGAAAGTCTATCCATTTCCACATGTGCACTCAGCGGCAAATAAAAAATGACATAGAGAATAATCATTCTCTTAGTAGCAAAGCCTTATTTAGTTCTCTATTAGTGCACTCAAGTTTTTTTTTTTGGTATTTTATAATCTTTATTATCACAGGGTTCATTCATTTAAGATAGAAAGGTGTTTCCAATAAGAAGCTATGGCAAATTACCCATAGCCTTACACTAGTCTATAAGTATAGTTACAAGAAAAAGACAAAGGATTTGAGAGATCTAAGTAAGCTTTAAGTGTATGTCCATTATGAACCGTTAATGTTGACCTACACATAACATGTGAAAGAAATCATTTCACTAGCCATTATCTATCTGCTATGGCATTTCATATTTGAATAGAGGTATCAAAACCTGCTTCCTAGGATTGTGTGACTGTTGACAATACCAAAGGTGTAGAGTAGCTTAAAGATGAGAGAAACAAAAAGAAATCTTCAAGTTGCTCAAAAGAAAAAGAAAAATAAAAATAAAGAATGAAATCTTTGGAACTTTCTGCTGAACTTTAGAATATCAAGGAAAGCTTAACTGCATCTTTTGAGAAAGATACTACGTTTCTTTCTAAGTATACTAGGATGAGAAAGAACCTTCAAGAACAAAGTTTACAGTTTGACAGCACGAGCATTTAACATGTCTGACTCCTTGTGGATATGAAAGTAGTTGGTGGCAAGAACCACAAACCAGTTGAGCAAACTCTGCATCCAAATCACACAAGCTAAGTCAGAAGACCATCGCAAACCATTTAATACCATTAAATTGCCAAGACAATAACAGATAAATATTGAAAACAACACTGATCAAGCTGAAGAATTTAAGCCAGTTGAAACACTTTCTGCTGCCACCAATCAGATCCCGAAATATCAAATTCATCCTAACAATTTAAAACCAACAGTTCCTGAGCAGAGTTATGATAATAAGTCCCATTTCACAAAAAAACAGAGATGAAGCATATGAAAAAAGCGCAATAATAATAATAATAATAATAATAATAATAATAACTTCTGATTTTACCACTGAAGATGCATGATAAAGAACAACTGATATGTTCCAACTTCCGAGTGAACTCCCAAATTTAAAAATTTTCGAATTTTAGGTTAAATCGCCAATTCAATCTATACACAAAAATGTGGCGATGATTGGAACTCGGAAGACCATTGATACCAACAGAAGAACAGAAGCGCCTAATTTCTAGAAAATAAAGCATGAGTAGGAATAATTATCGAGGAAAGGAATGCAACTGATATTATAAAATCACGAATGTGGGCTATGATTCAGTCCTATGCATAGAAATAAAGAGATAAGCGACTGACCAGATGGTGGCTGCGGCTGTGTCGGAGGAGGGAGGGATTGCCAACCAGGTGGCGGTCCTTCATCGTCTTCGTCTTCTTCTTCCTTCTTTTCTTTTTCCTCAGCTTCTTTGCTCTCCGTTCTCTCCATGACAGTCCGGCTGGAAACCGATGGAAGGAATCGAGCAAGAGGGTCATAGCAGAAAATGAAATGGGAACTAACGCGACATCGTTTCGTTTTTAATTTTTTAATAATGTGGTAGCCACTCTTATTATAATAATATAATATAAAGAATTAATGTTCATTTACTTTAACTCTTAAAAATTAAGAGTAAAATCACTTCAAAACTAAGTAGTTTTAATAAAGTACTATAAAAAAATACTTTAATTTATGTTTAAAAAAATTATTTTAATTTTTTTCAATAAAAATTTATTGAAACGATATAAATTTAAAATAATTTTTTTTAACCTTTAAGAAATAAGTGAATAAACATTATTTTCATAATATATTATAATATATTATTATTATTATTATTATTATTATTATTGTTAAAATTTATTTATATACAAATTTTACATATTTCGCTTATATAAAATTTTAAACATGCGATATTATAGGCTTTCTCCGTGTAAGAATGGAAATGAGAGTTTACGCGACGTCCTTTCGTTTTCATTTTTCAATACTGTGGTAGACATTCTTATATTATAATTATTATTAAAATTAAAATATACTTACATATAAATTTTATATATTATATTTATGTAAAATTATAATTATTAATTTTTTATTTTTAATAGGTAAAATTTATTTATATTTATTAAAAATAATTATATTTTATTTAAAAAATCGTAATAAATTTTCATAATTAAAAATAAAAAATAAAAAATTAAAATTTTATATAAATATAATATATAAAATTTATGTATAACTTTTTTTTTTTTTGGGATAAGGTTACATGTGAGGGTTTTTGGAAAATCCAAGTCAATTGGGCCTCATGTGGAGAACAACCACTTACTCTATTTAGGGTTTTTGAAATTTGTGTTTAAAATAATTTTTTTTTTATAATAATAATAATTTTAAATAATGATATATAAATAATTTTTTATATAATCCTTTTAATACAAACTTTTGCACATTGTTAAAATAAAATGTATGTAATATCAAATTGGTAGAGTTAAAAAAATTAATAGTTAAATATAATATGTAAAATTATATTAAAAAAATATATTACAATCACTTTTCTTTTGAATTTTTTAATTAAAATATCAGTTGTGCATATTAAACAAAGCCGATCTATAAAATCAATACCATCAATTGATGGTAATATATGAATAATTTTTTATATTATTTTTTGTATAATTTTTATATATCATTAAAT